GTCCCGCACTTTTCACAGTCACTGTACACGAGCGGTGCAAGGCAAAAGATGAAAGCTAAATCTACATTCTGCCGTGTAATGCTGGCTTAGACTAACAGACTAACATCACCCCGATTCTATCCATGAGTGTCGTAAGAAGCGATCAAGCGACTAAGGCATAATTATCCAGGGAATGGGCGCAAATATCTTACACTGCTTTGCCAATCCACCTGCCGGAGAGCGTCCAATGCTACGCTTGCGGAGCCGTGGCCTCCACTCAAAAACCCGTTCACTCTACCGTCCTTTAGTTCTATGACAACTGTGACCAGCCCAGCTGGCACTTCAGCTTGCTCTCTCTCTCTCTCTCTCTCTTCATGTGGGCTTGCTACACTTACAGACTGTACAGACTACGTCCTTTGCGTACACGTATCAGCTCTTAGCTTACACCTCAAGCAACTCTATATGCGTTGTGTTGCATGCGGCGAGTTAGCTGTCTGTTGTCTCTCTACATCTTTGTATGTGAGCTCTTAACTTGCACCACTAGCAACTGAGTTGCGTAGTGTTGCATGCGGCGAGAGTTAAGCCTCATCTCTCTATGGGCTTAGCTGTCTGTTCTCTCTACATCTTTGTATTTCAGCTCTTAACTTGCCTTAAGCCTCATCTCTCTATGGGCTTAGCTGTCTGTTCTCTCTACATCTTTGTATGTGAGCTCTTAACTTGCACCTTAAGCAACGTTATGCGTTGTGCTGCATGCGGCGAGTGCTAAGCCTCATCTCTCTATGGGCTTAGCTGTCTGTTCTCTCTACATCTTTGTATTTCAGCTCTTAACTTGCCTTAAGCCTCATCTCTCTATGGGCTTAGCTGTCTGTTCTCTCTACATCTTTGTATTTCAGCTCTTAACTTGCCTTAAGCCTCATCTCTCTATGGACTTAGGTGTCTGTTCTCTCAACATCTTTGTATATGAGCTCTTAACTTGCACCACTAGCAACTCAGTGCGTTGTGTTGCATGCGGCGAGTGCTAAGCCTCATCTCTCTATGGGCTTAGCTGTCTGCTGTCTTTCTACATCTTTACTTGAGCTCTTAACTTGCACCTCAAGCAACGTTATGCGTTGTGTTGCATGCGGCGAGTGCTAAGCCTCATCTCTCTATGGGCTTAGCTGTCTGCTATCTCTCTACATCTTTGTATTTCAGCTCTTAACTTGCACCTCAAGCAACTCAGTGCGTTGTGTTGCATGCGGCGAGTGCTAAGCCTCATCTCTCTATGGGCTTAGCTGTCTGTTCTCTCTACATCTTTGCATTTGAGCTCTTAACTTGCACCTCAAGCAACGTTATGCGTTGTGTTGCATGCGGCGAGTGCTAAGCTTCATCTCTCTATGGGCTTAGTTGTCTGCTGTCTGTACATCTTTGTGGGATCACCCACTGTCTGTGCTCTGTTCAAGTGCTTTTGAGATCTTGGGCTTTTGGGAACATGGGCTTTGGGTCATGTGTGGTACACACAAAAAATGGATGCTATGTAGGATTCCGAGTCGTCGAACAACCCAGTATGAAACGTTAACTATTAGAAATTCATTTACCCTATTCTGAACACAATAAATATAAGTTTTCAGTTTGATCAGAATATCAACTTTTTAGAGGCTTTACTGCGCATAAACATCATGCTTCCATCACTACCTGCTTGTTTTTGGGACAGTATGCTGCAGGTCGTTACGTGGTGACGATATATCAAGTCTGCTTCTGACAATTTTACGTTCACACCTCGGTTTATAGTGTACATAAAATATTGCTCGCACCTTGTATCAGGTCGTTAAACTTACTGACAGTGGCAAAGTTTTGTTAATCCTGAATACACGATGTAAAGGGCGGTGTGACAAAAAATTTACAGTCGTGCTCAGACCATGTAACTTTCCCCAAAGAACATAACATGATGGTAAACGAAAAGTAAAACGTGCATTTTAATAAAATCTTATCCCAAGAAAATATTATATTATAAATGTCTTTTCCTCCTTATCCGCTCCATATACCCCAGCCATGCGTGAGGAATCGTCGCAAAGCGGCCCATATCCTTAAGATGAATCGTTCTGAACGTCACGCGAGTATCTATCATATGTGCTCAATATGAGCCATTTGTCATCGCCAGGATGATGAAATACCGACGGTCAATAGCGTTACAAATGTAGAGTTCTAATGTAATAACATTGGTTATTACTTAAGTAACATACTGAATGAGGTGACATTAATTACTATGTATGACAAGCGTATGACCTATTTATAAATCCACCACCACCACCCCTTTCTGATCACGCTTTGTTACCATTTTTTAGTAACATACTGAATGAGGTGACATTACATACTATGTATGACAAGCGTATGACCTATTTATAAATCCACCACCACCACCCCTTTCTGATCACGCTTTGTTACCATTTTTTATTTCTTTATATTTTTTATCATAAATTTTATATTTTTACCTAAATTTTGGGAAGTTTAATATAATTTAAATGTAATCTACTTACGTACTGATCTCATTACATTTTTGAGTACCTAGTACTAAGACGTTGTTTTGTTATAAATACTTAGTTTAAGTTCTTCCAACCTACTATTAGTTACTACGAATGTTGTGTACATCTTTGACTGTCTTATGCAAAGTCTTATGTATCAGAATATTTTTAGTTTGTAAGTTTTATGTAAAAGTTAGATATGTAAGATGTTGATGTTGCTTTACTAATAAGTTTCGTTTAACGCTATTGTCGTATACATTTGACAAAGTCAATTTTGAATGTCATACGTATCACTCCTTGTGTAGGTAAAGTTAATCCCACCCAAACATAAATGTGAAAGGCTGCCAAGTTCGATAATTTTTGAATGCTTCGCCTATAAAAAGAAGTGAGATCTAAATAAGTACCAAGTTCCATACACAGACCTCAGTTAAAAATAGTTACAGGAATGCACACTTGATTTTTTCGCAGTTTGGAAATAAGAATCTACTTTCCAAACTGCGGAAAATCAAGTGTGATCCTGTAACTATTTTTAACTGAGTCTATTCATATTAGATCTCACTTCTTTATCAAAACATCAAATTATCGAGCAACCTCATTTATGTTTTGGTGAATTTCATTATTTTGTAAGGTTTATTTTCTTTTTCTTATGATTAAGTTAGTTAAGGAAATGTCTCATTTATACTTTACTTTGACTAAATACAAACCTTCGTAACGAATTTTAGGTCAATACGACGATTGGAAGATATAGATAAATTTTTGTTTAGTTCCTTAGGGTATGAATTTACACCTTCATTATTTTAAAACAAACTCACACTTGGCCATTTCAGATTTTTCTTTACCTTGACCTAAAGACCTACCTCCATGCCAAATTTCAAGTCAATACGACCATTGGAAGTGGTCTAGGTTTTTGATGATGAGTCAGTCAGTCAGTGTATAGTAAAAATAGCGATTTTCTGACGTCAATATCTCAAGACCTACAATAGGTACATTAATGAAATTTTGTATTTTAAATAAGTAAGTAGATCTCGACAGATACTAGAAATTTCATATGCGTAGATAAAATAGATTTTGAGTTATAGGTGGGTCGAACTTGGCCCGAAATGGTTCGTGTAATATAACCCACGGCCGGTGTGTCGCTTTTTTTGCTCCAACTTGGCGGACACACTACCGTGTGTCTAGATTTTGCGCTGCGCTATCGCTAAATACGACGACGCATGCCCAACGGTGCGATGACGGATGCGTCTGTCAAACCGTTTGATGGGATTAAGATGGAAATTCGCTTTTTCCTAACGCTGCGATAGCGCAGCTCAAAAAAACGTCGAAACAGACGTTTGGAAAGCGCATATAAGATGTGGTTACAAAAAGTCTGTATGAAGCCCACACATATTCAGCTACAAATGACAGAATTCACCTACTGCAAAATTAAACAAATTTTATTCATCATCGGTATAGAATATATTCAGTACAATTTCTTCTTCACCTAGAAATTAGTTCTTAAAAACATTGTCTAGAATCCAGGGGACATAGCTCGAGACCCTCGCAGTAACAGAAGGCTTGCCCGCTTGAGCACAAGCTGGTGTACCAAAAGAGGTGACACCCACGACGACGTCATTATGAATGTTCGGTCCACCAGAGTCACCAGTGCATATGCCTTCGTCATTGTCGGAGCCAATGCAAAGCATTTCATCAGTGATGGATAAACCTTGATACGTCTGCTGGCAAATCTCCCGGCTGAAGACACGGTTTTGAACGTGTTTCAGCTGTTCCGAGAAGCCCTCCTGAAAAAATGTTGTACTTGGCTTAGAAAAAGTATTAGATTTCTGCTGGACTAGCGTGTGCTTTGAGACTTCAGATGCTAATTCAGATGTGTCAAATCGTATGGAATTTGAAAAAAACAGTAAATTCTTATTTGTGAAATACAGGTGTGGAGAAAATCGGAGTCTCGCGATCGTATGCTGAGTACCTGAGCTACAATGCAAAAACTAAAAGATAGTAAATGTGCAAGTTTGCCAGGTGCCGCTATGCCGCTGTCGCAAGCAGCTAAGATTTGGCTCTGGATATAGGCTCTGAAGTTGCCGCATCGGCTGCACGCGCCAGGAATGGCCATAGCCATATACATGGCCGTAGCCTTGTGCGGCTGTATACAATTAACTTACACCAGTCATTCCCCAGACAATAGACTGAATCGGATCGTTAGTTTCTAGAACGTAGTTGGGGCCAGTAATGAGTGCTTGTCTCACGAGCGCGTTGAACGTGATGAAGGTTTGCAGGTGGATCACAGCGACGTCGTGGACCAGCTGGTAGGGGCTCTGGTAGTAGTCAGGGTGGTTGATGAGCAGCACCACATTATGCACTTACAAAACTGGATCCAACTCAAATGACTCTTGCGGGTAGAATTGAAGTGATATTATTCTGAGCCGGCATCATAGAATAGTAAGTTGTGGATGTTATCTACAAGTGTCGCTGGATCGTCGTTTGTATACGAGCATCAAGAGACATAAAATTTGGCATTTATCAATCGGTGCATCGATAGCTCATTAGCAGAGCGTTGGAGTGTTTATTTATGCAGCCCGGGTTCGATCCCCGGTCGATGCATGACATATTTTCTAATTCATATTTCCATTTGTGAAGATAGTAAGCTACTAAATATACAATTGACTTACACCAGTCATTCCCCAGCCAATAGACTGAATCGGATCGTTAGTTTCAAGGACGTAGTTGGGCCCAGCAATGAGTGCTTGTCTCACGAGCGCGTTGAACGTGATGAAGGTTTGCAGGTGGATCACAGCGACGTCGTGGACCAGCTGGTAGGGGCTCTGGTAGTAGTCAGGGTGGTTGAAAAACTCTGACACCAGGGTTCATCGGGTCGTTAGACGACTTGGTGGCCCACTCGAAGAAGAAAAAGTGTGGTTGATGAGGAGAACCACGTTGTGGACTTGTCCTCCATTGCTTGCGAAGCTGGATCCAACACAAACTACACCCACGGGTAGAATTAAAGAGATACTACTCTATGCCGGCATCAAAGAAGTTGATGATTCTTTCTACAGATGTCGCTGGATCGTCGCTTGGAGAAGAGCATCAAAAGATAGCTCAGTGGCAGAGCGGTGGGGTTCGATCCCCGGTCGATGCATGACATATTTCTTATTTCCATTTGTGAAGATAGTAAGCTACTGAATATACAATTGACTTACACCAGTCATTCCCCAGCCAATAGACTGGATCGGATCGTCAGTTTCAAGGACGTAGTTGGGCCCAGCAATGAGTGCTTGTCTCACGAGCGCGTTGAACGTGATGAAGGTTTGCAGGTGGATCACAGCGACGTCGTGGACCAGCTGGTAGGGGCTCTGGTAGTAGTCGGGGTGGTTTATAAGAACCACCTGTCCTCCGCTGCTTGTGAAGTTGATTCCAACTCAAACGACACCCACGGGTAGAATAAAGCTGATGCTATTCTAAGCCGGCATCAAAGAAGACAATATACAATTGACTTACACAGTGAGTCCCCAGCCAATAGACTGGATGGATTCACTCTGCTGCTTATGAAGCTGGATCCAACTCAAACGACAGCCACGGGTAGAATCAAGTGATGCTATTCTGAGCCGGCATCAAAATAAAAGAAGTTGTGGATGTTTTCTACAGGAATCGCTGGAGCGTCGCTTGGAGACGAGCATCAATAGATAGAAAATTTGGCATTCATCAATGGGTACATCAATCGCTAGTGGCAGAGCGGTGAAGCGTTCACACATGCAGCCCGGGTTCTATCCGGTCGATGCATGATATATCTTCTATTTCTAATTTTCATTTGTGAAGATAGAGCTTCTGAATATACTATTGACTTACACCAGTGAGTCCCCAGCCAATAGACTGGATCGGGTCGTTAGTTTCAAGGACGTAGTTGGGGCCAGCAATGAGTGCTTGTCTCACGAGCGCGTTGAACGTGATGAAGGTTTGCAGGTGGATCACGGCGACGTCGTGGACCAGCTGGTAGGGGCTCTGGTAGTAGTCGGGGTGGTTGATGAGAAGCACCACGTTGTGGACTTGCCCTCCGCTGCTTGCGAAGCTGGATCCAACTCAAACCACACCCACGGGTAGATCAAAGAAGATAGTAAGCTACTAAATATACTATTGCTGCCTGCAAAGCTGAAGCACACTCGACCGCGCCAACGGGTAGAATAGAAGTGATGCTATTCTAAGCCGGCATCAAAAAATAGTAAGTAAGTTAAGGATGCTTTCTTCAGATGTTGCTGGATCGTTGCTTGGAGATGAGCATCCTCAATGTAATTTGGCATTCCTCAATCGGTGCTAATAGCTCAGTGGCAGAGCGGTGGGGCGTATACCCATCGGTCCGCGTTCGATCCCCGGTCGAAGCATGACATATTTTCTATTTCTTATTCTTATTTGTAAAGACAGTAAGCTACTGAATATACAATTGACTTACACCAGTCAGTCCCCATCCGATAGACTGAATCGGATCGTCAGTTTCAAGGACGTAGTTGGGCCCAGCAATGAGCGCTTGCCTCACGAGCGCGTTGAACGTGATGAAGGTTTGCAGGTGGATCACAGCGACGTCGTGGACCAGCTGGTAGGGGCTCTGGTAGTAGTCGAGGTGGTTGATGAGGAGCACCACGTTGTCCATTAGTAGATTGAAGCTGGATCCAGCTCAAATGACACGTACGGGAGAATTGAAGTGATACAAGTCTGAGCCGGCATCAAAGATTAGTAAGTAAGTTGTGGATGCTTGCTTCAGATGTCACTGGATCGAGGCTTGCAGACGAGCATCAAAAGATAGCTCAGTGGCAGAGGCAGAACCCCACAGGGGTTCGATCCCCGGTCGATGCATGACATATTTCTTATTTCCATTTGTGAAGATAGTAAGCTACAGAATATACAATTAACTTACACCAGTCATCCCCCAGCCAATAGACTGAATAGGATCGTTGGTTTCAAGGACGTAGTTGGGGCCGGCAATGAGTGCTTGTCTCACGAGGGCGTTGAACGTGATGAAGGTTTGCAGGTGGATCACAGCGACGTCGTGGACCAGCTGGTAGGGGCTCTGGTAGTAGTCAGGGTGGTTGATGAGCAGCACCACATTATGCACTTGTGAAGCTGGAGCTGACTCTAACGACACTCACGGGTAGAATTGAAGTGATGCTCTTCTGAGCCGGCATCAAAGAAGTTGTGGATGCTTTCTACAGTTGACGCTAGATCGTCGCTGTGAGACGAGCACCAAGAAATAGAAAATTTGGCATTCATCAATCGGTACATCGATAGCTTAGTTAGCAGAGCGGTGGGCGTTTACCCATGCGGCCCGGGTTCGATCCCGGTCGATGAATGACATATTTGCTATTCTTATTTTCATTCGTGAAGATAGTAGCTACTGTATAAACAATTGACTTACACCAGTCATTCCCAGCCAATAGATTGGATAGGATCGTTGGTTTCAAGGACGTAGTTGGGCCCAGCAATCAGTGCTTGTCTCACGAGCGTGTTGAACGTGATGAAGGTTTGCAGGTGGATCACAGCGACGTCGTGGACCAGCTGGTAGGGGCTCTGGTAGTAGTCGGGGTGGTTGATGAGCAGCACCACGTTGTCCATTAGTAGATTGAAGCTGGATCCTGCTCAAATGACACCCACGGGTAGAATTGAAGTGATGCTAGTCTGAGCCGGCATCAAAGATTTGTAAGTTAGTTGTGGATGCTTTCTACAAATGTCGCTGGATCGAGGCTTGCAGACGAGCATCAAAAGATAGCTCAGTGGCAGAGGCAGAACCCCACAGGGGTTCGATCCCCGGTCGATGCATGACATATTTCTTATTTCCATTTGTGAAGATAAAGCTACAGAATATACAATTAACTTACCAGTCATCACCCAGCCAATAGACTGAATAGGATCGTTGGTTTCAAGGACGTAGTTGGGGCCGGCAATGAGTGCTTGTCTCACGAGGGCGTTGAACGTGATGAAGGTTTGCAGGTGGATCACAGCGACGTCGTGGACCAGCTGGTAGGGGCTCTGGTAGTAGTCGGGGTGGTTGATGAGAAGCACTACGTTGTGGACCTGTCCTCCGCTACTTGCGAAGCACACGGGTAGAATTGAAGTGATGCATTTCTTTTTTTAAAGGCCCGCATTTGTGTGGTATCTAACATGTTGGTAAGTGATGTGATGATGCAGATGATGTTGGAGCATGCTAGGTAGATGCTAGGTATTGCCTATTTACTCTTAGAATTCAAAGTTACCTGTGCTATTCTAAGCCGGCTTCAAAGAATAGTAAGTAAGTTTTGGATGTTTTTTACACAGGTGTCGCTGGAGCGTCGCTTAGAGATGAGCATCAAGAGATAGAAAATTTGGCATTCATCAATCGGTGCATCGACAGCTCGGTGGCAGAGCGGTAGGGCGTTTACCCGGGTTCGATCCCCGGTCGATGCATGACATATTTTCTATTTCTTATTTTCATTCGTGAAGATAGTAAGCTACTGTATAAACAATTGACTTACACCAGTCATTCCCCAGCCAATAGATTGGATAGGATCGTTGGTTTCAAGGACGTAGTTGGGCCCAGCAATGAGTGCTTGTCTCACGAGCGCGTTGAACGTGATGAAGGTTTGCAGGTGGATCACAGCGACGTCGTGGACCAGCTGGTAGGGGCTCTGGTAGTAGTCAGGGTGGTTTATGATGACCACCTGTCCTCCACTGCTTGCGAAGTTGGATCCAACTCAAACGAAACCCACTGGTAGAATAAAGCTGATGCTATTCTAAGCCGGCATCAAAGAAGACAATATACAATTGACTTACACCAGTGAGTCCCCAGCCAATAGACTGGATAGGATTCACTCTGCTGCTTGCGAAGCTGGATCCAACTCAAACGACACCCACGGGTAGAATCGAAGTGATGCTATTCTGAGCCGGCATCAAAGAATAGAAAGTAAGTTGTGGATGTTTTCTACAGGAATCGCTGGAGCGTCGCTTGGAGACGAGCATCAATAGATAGAAAATTTGGCATTCATCAATAGGTACATCAATCGCTAGTGGCAGAGCGGTGAAGCGTTCACACATGCAGCCCGGGTTCTATCCCCGGTTGATGCATGACATATTATCTATTTCTTATTTCCATTTATGAAGATAGTAAGCTACTGAATATATTGACTTACACCAGTCATTCCCCAGCCAATAGACTGGATCGGATCGTTGGTTTCAAGGACGTAGTTGGGCCCAGCAATGAGTGCTTGTCTCACGAGCGCGTTGAACGTGATGAAGGTTTGCAGGTGGATCACAGCGACGTCGTGGACCAGCTGGTAGGGGCTCTGGTAGTAGTCGGGGTGGTTGATGAGGAGTACTACGTTGTGGACTTGTCCTCCGCTGCTTGCGAAGCTGGAGCCGACTCGGACGCGCCAACGGCTGGGGTCAGTTTTTTCACTGGAAGAATAACATACATAAATTTATCACGCCTATATCCCTTGCAGGCAGAGCGTAGACGGAGGTAATGTATTGGATTTTTTAATGCATTCACAGCGCTATATTCTCATTATTTAATTTTCGTAAACGGAGGGCCAAAATGGGCACTAACACCACTTCTGACTAAAGTTTGAGTCATTCAGAAGACT